AATACATGATGAACAAATATTTTTTGGAAGTAGAGTTATGGATTTATGTTCTTAAATTTGATGAACAATTTTTTTTGGAAGTAGAGTTATATTTTTCCTTAACCGTATAACTGGAAATTTTTTATAACAAAAAAAAAATTATAAAAAAAATAAACGGGGCAGGGAAACGGTCCCCGCCCCGTCCCGCCCCGCCCCATCTTAGACGGGGCGGGATAGGGGGTGCCCCACCCCGAACCCACCCCGTTGCCATCCCTAATTATTAACATGATATTACTTTTTTCGAAAAATACTACTCGACTTATCATAGACAATTTACGTATCACATGACTTCTATTTAATGAGAGATGTATTATTTTCATATTAGTACTTCCCGCACACCTTCCTTCATACATGTTAATCTCGATTCAAGCTAAAGCCTTAGAGTATGCCATTCTTATATACATTGCTTGATGTCCTAATTCCCATCCGTGAAAGGCAAGATAATTTCATTTTACTCCAACAAAGATAGTATTGTTTAGGATAGATAAAAGGTAGTTTAGACATACTTAAAAAGTCAATTAATTGATAGATGCAGGTAGATGTAGACGAGAGTGCGAATTACCTGAAAAATAAAAATTTACGTGATCAACTTTTGGAAAATGGCTTTTCTGCAAAATAATGTTAATCAAACATCCCAAAAATAGAAATTTGAGTAAAAAAATGACATTTTTCATAGAAAATAAAATCAATAAATCGCAACCTTAATATCTGGAATTTAACCTGCTTACCTTATATTAAATGATTAATCAATTAGTTGATATATTATATAATCGATACTTATTAGATCATTTTTCTGTCTATATAAATATTTAACTTATATTAAGTCTCTGTTTGTTGCTCATTATTAGAAGAAAAGGAATCGTTGGAACTGTGGTCCTACCTACCATTTTTGACGATTTATGTCTTATTAGGATCCACCAACTTTGAAAAAAAGGATCGTATTTTTTTTCATTAATGGGGAGAAAAGTTGGAACAAACAGAGGCTAAGTGCCAAAAATATGAAATTAAATGGATAAATTAAAGGTGGATTATTTATTTTTATACATCCATTTATTTGTTTTTTTCTTAAATAATTAATTGAAATACTTGACAACTGTGTATTCCCCAGTGTCATAAGCCCGTTTCTGTTGTCCCCACACAATGTCCTGCACATTGTGGTTGTGAGATAACCCCACCTACACAACGCGCAACTCCAACAACGTCGTCCCCTCAAATGGCCGACGAAGATACCGTGGCGGTCGTCGGTGGTACAACTGGTGTACCTCTCCAGCTAATCCACGATATCGTAAGGATCTGCGGCCCCGGCTTCTCTGGTCGCTTCAAGAAGGACTGTACGGACCTGGCCCGCAGAGTCTCACTCTTGGCCCATTTGCTTGAAGAAATTGTGGATTCGAAGAAAGCCCCTAAAAATCATGAAACTTCTTCGTTGAATTCTTGCTTCACTGATCTCGCAGTGGCTCTCCAGGCTGCTAAAAGGCTCCTTTTTGCTGCTAACAACTTCGAAGATTCCTCTGTATGTATATTCAATACTGTTCTGTGTGGCATTTTCTTTCATTTCCAGTTAAGATATGTGTTTATATGACCTAATTGGTATAATGCACTGTTTATCTGGTGTGGATGAATCGAAATCCCTGTCTTTATTCATTCAATTTTTTGTTTCAGTTTGATCGATGGAATTGTTAGATTGGGATTGGTATTGATAATTATATAATGTTGCTTTGACTAATCAAGAATGTTAATTGTAGCTACATGATGTTGGATACTTTCTGCAGCTCTGATCTGATCTGGTATTTGAACATTTGATGTTTCAATTTTTGAAACTTAGGGTGTATGACTTGATTGCATAGGTATTGCGTTGAAATTCATGGAATAATGGGGAAAGGGTCAAGTTGTTTCCATAATTTATATGAGATTGTCCTTCAAATTCTTTGGGTAAAAAAAAATCAAGCAATGGGGTTATTGATTTGTAATTGAGGTGCACAGCAAGCAGTAAATGAGTTTTCTGGACTAAAATAAGGTTCAGGAATCTTGAACTAGCATGATTAGATCTGTTGTTTCGTGCTGATGATTTAAGCATATGTTGAGGTGCATCATGCATGTATGAGCATGTTTGACAATTGGCATAGCATTACTAGACAGGAACGACAATACAATGGACAAGATTGTAACTTATTTTTCTTTTCAATACTAACTACTAGTACTGTGCAATCTACCAAATGTGGCCTTTGTCTCTGTACAGCAATCGATGCCATGGGCTATTAGAAGTCATTTACTTGTAGTTGGTAACTTGCTGGTGTGTCTGTGTTCTAATTCTGTATATCTCAGTAACAAATCTCTTCAATAGAAAAACTAAAGAGCTTGGTTTTTACGAAGATAGATTATGTTGCTTATCTCACAGTCCGGTTGTCCACAATTGAAAACAGTTTAATTCAAGCTATCCATGCAAAGCACTGCCTTTGATACAGTGTCGTAGATGATATAATCAAGGGGTTTTCGGGGGAACTTAATCTCTTTGGATTCTTGAAGCTGAAAACTAGAGCCTTCAAGTGTCTTTCTATCTAAAAGGCACATGATAATAGATCCTTTTTGCTATAAATAATGTTGGACAGAGACGATGGACAACACAAGGGTGATCCATATTATCACTGGCGGATTTAGGGAGAGGCTTGCATGGGGCGGATTTAGGGAAAGGCTTGCATGGGCTTTAGCCAATGCCAGCCTCAGCCCACTTAGGTGTTAAAAATAAATAAAAATTGTATAACATTTTTATATGTGTATTTTTTTTATACCTATTAGCTCGTGTTGAATTTTTTTTTTTTTTTTGTCGATCTTGGATCTGCCACTGCATATTATTCTATTATTGTTTCATGCTCAGCTTTCTTGTATTTCAGTTATACGCCATAAATTTACTTTTAACTTGTTCCTTAGTATATTTGCCATCATAAATATTGGGGTATTACTTCAGAATGAAGATATTTAGTGGTTGCACTTGTCTCAAAGAAATATTGCCTGCCTCACATTATATTTATCGTTCCTTGATTCAAGGATGGGGCTACCAAGAAAATCTTCTTTCAGTTTCAATGTGTGACTTGGAAATTGGAGAAAGCACTGGCTACCTTGCCATATGATTATTTTGACATATCCGAGGAAGTCCAAGAACAGGTTAGTTTTGACTTTTTTAGCATCTTTATGTGGTTGTCTGGACTCTAACCACACAAAATATGATCGTTTTGCCAGGTTGAATTAGTCAGAGCACAATTAAAGCGAGCAACAGAGAAATATGGTGGGCCATTGAATTCAAGCTTATTATGTAGGTCGTTATCCCAGCCACTAGACAAAGATATCAATCCATTTCAGTTGGACAACACTTTAATCAGAAGTCTACATGTAGAAAATATTGATAATGACGTTGGGACAAAATTGGATGGTCATGTAGAAGGTATTCATGGGTCAGAAGGCCATCCTTTGCATGGAATAATTCAGGAATCAGAAGGTTTAAAAATCTCATGCACATCATCCGGGGTTTGTGTCCAAAAGGATTCTGATAATGGAAGGATAGATAACTCTGCCAGCAAGTGTCTGGATGTGAACAAGAAGCCAGAATCTCCTGTAATTCCTGATGACTTCCTTTGCCCCGTATCTCTTGAAATGATGAGGGATCCAGTTATTGTGGCAACAGGCCAGGTATTGTTCGCATTCTAAATTCCCTTCTAGTCTTTTTTGTTCTCATATGTCCGCCCAAAAAAGGAAAAAAATAGACAAATGTTAGGTGAATTATTCAGAGAAATTTACTGTATGGTGTAGCTTCTAACATATTTTACTCTTGCAGACTTATGAGAGATCTTACATACAGAGATGGATTGATTGTGGCAACACAACATGTCCGAAAACTCAGCAGAATCTCCAACATCTAACTCTAACTCCGAATTATGTTTTGAGAAGTCTAATATCTCAATGGTGTGTCAAAAATAATATAGAGCAGCCATCAACATTTATGAGTGGGAGGATTAAAAAAAGTGACGGATCATTTCGGGATGTTAGTGGGGATATAGAAGCAATTAAAGCACTTGTTCTTAAGCTCTCTAGTCTGTCCATCGAGCAACGAAAGGCTGCAGTGGCTGAGATCCGGTCACTATCCAAAAGAAGTACGGATAATAGAATTTTGCTTGCAGAAGCTGGAGCTATTCCCGTCCTCGTTAATCTGTTGACATCCGAGGATGTTGAAATTCAAGACAATGCAGTCACTTCCATTCTGAATCTTTCCATATACGATAATAACAAGGGGCTCATAATGCTAGCCAATGCAATTCCTTCTATTGTACAAGTTCTTAGAACTGGAAGCATGGAAGCAAGAGAGAATGCGGCGGCAACCCTCTTTAGCTTGTCCTTGGCCGATGAAAACAAGATAATAATAGGTGCATCTGGGGCACTACCGGCTTTAGTGGACTTACTTCAAAATGGAAGCTCACGAGGGAAGAAAGATGCTGCAACTGCATTATTCAACTTGTGCATTTATCAAGGAAACAAGGGCCGGGCTGTCAGGGCTGGCATTATTACTCCCCTATTAAAAATGCTCACTGATTCAGGCAATAGTATGGTCGATGAGGCTCTGACCATTCTTTCGGTTCTAGCTAGCCACCATGAAGCAAAGGCTGCTATTGTGAAAGCTAGCACAATACCCATCTTGATAGATCTATTGCGAACAGGTCTGCCTCGGAACAAGGAGAATGCGGCTTCCATTTTACTTTCCTTGTGTAAAAGAGAGAGTGAAAATCTTGCCTGCCTAAGTAGGCTCGGTGCAGTAATACCTCTTTCGGAGATTGCCAAAAGCGGCACAGAAAGGGCCAAGAGGAAGGCTACTTCATTGTTGGAGCATCTTCGAAAGTTACATGTCTGACAGGTTTTTTAACACCGGAAAACTCATTATTTGTTCTTTCGATTTCTGTCTGATTGTTTATATAACGCGATTTTTAGCGTGTGAAGGAAAACGAGGATTGAAATGGAACATTGACATAACTTTCCTCGTATTTGTTAAACGAGGATTGAAATGGAACATTGACATAACTTTCCTCGTATTTGTTTACTTTCTTCACAGATTGCGTCGAAGATTGTTTAACCTGTTTCAATTGTAACCCCTCACTAAGACAAGGAACTGATCACTTCTTGATACCTGCTGAAAAGTAAGACAGGATCAAGTCTGTAAGCAGAACACACGTTTTGAACAGTGATTAAGGAAATTATTCATTTTTTCTGTCAAAAGCTGTCTCAATACTAGGTTTCATAGCAGCATGGTTCCCTATCTAAAGTTTTTCATTTACAAGCTGGGTAGCATTTTCTTCGAGCACGAGTTACGAACCAGTGGTGGAACACTAAGTGGTATGTCCATTAAATGTAGCAACATGAAATCCATTTAATTAGGCCTATTATCTAGTGCAATTTGGTTTCACATAAACTTGTGTTTTAACCTACTATTGTTAAATAGCATTACTCTTTTCTTGAAGGGTGTTGTGACCTAGAAATTCTTGGCTGAGTGTTAAGCCATACAAGAAGGTCATTAGTATGTAGTGTTATGATGCTTCTTCTGCCAAAAAGCCTTGAATGGAGAAATGGTGGTCGGCTTACTATTGTTCTCACCCCTATTCTCGTCTTTTCTATTGATCCCGTTTAGTGTGTTTTTTCTACGCACCCTAGTGAAAGACGCTCATGTAAACGCACGAATTGAACTATCATTAGGGTTTGATATTTCAGACGGCGTAGACTCAAGGAAGAAGGAAGCTTACAAAGGTTGAGATATTTCACCATTGATTCAGATTGTCTTAGGGCCTGTTTTTCAAGACTTTTGATTTTATTTTTACTTCTTGTAGAAGTGTTTCCAGATGAAGCTGCTTTAATTAATGTTTGAAAACTAATTTTCAAAAAAGATTTCTCTTCTGGAAGAGCTTTTATAGAAAGCTGACTACTAAAAAAATGCTTTTATAAAATTAATCAAACAAATTCAAAAGTAGTCATCTCGACTTTTTAAAAGTTTTGTCAAACGAGCTCTTAATGCGTTAGTACCTGTAAAGGTTTACAACCATTCAATTAGATATAGAATCATCACAAACAACAGAATCTCGTTCTTCACAAATCTAGAACCGAGGACATGATTACTTAGATGATAAAATTACAAATAAAGTTGTATGATTCGTAAGTTCGAAAAAGAGAAAAAAAACTCGGGCATTTTCTTGTTCATATTTTGCACCAACTGCCTCGTTTGAAATCTCCAAAACATGAAATAAACCAAACCAAACTCAAACCAATCAACACAAATATCCAAACATTCTCTTCTTTACCCTCATTTTCTGATTCTACTTCAACTATACTAAACTCCTCTCTTCCTGTAGTCCCCATTATGCCCTCGTTTACATGCCCATATAACACATAAACAGGGGCTAGAAAACCAATTCTTTGAAATGCTGGAAAGATGGCGCGTGAGGGTGGAGGTTGGAAACCAAATTCAAGGGAAAAGTTTGGCAATCAAACGCTTCAAAACGTGGAAAATGGAAAAGAATTTTCTACTTCCTTGAAAAATTTGGTGAATCAAACGGGGCCTTAGAGTAAATGATTTTATAATGAAAACTCCCTCTTAATAAATGATACAAATGAATTAACTACTAAAAGAGGCTAACGCTTCAATGAATAGCAATAAATGATAGTTTAAATGTTAAATAAAATACTTTGATATATATGATAATTAGAAATTTGATTCAACCAATCAAAGATTCTCAATGAGATGAAGAAGAAGAAGAAGAAATAAATGTAATGTAAGTTCAAAAATTTTCTCAAAATATATATATCTTTTTTAATGAATGATCGTAATAAATTAAGTACAAAGAAAGAGATGAGAAATTTTGATGAATATGATGATTTTACAAATTTGATTCAATCAATCACAGTTTTCAATATGAAAAAGTAGAAGAAATATATGTAATGTCGGTTTAAAGTTCTTCAAAAAATGTCTTTCTTTTATGAGTAATAGAAATAAGTTATGTACAAAATGATAGATAAAAAACTTCGATGAAGATGATGATTTTACAATTCAATCAATTAAAGTTTTTAATAAGAAACAGTAGAAATATATACAATGTAGGTTCAAAGATCTTCTTTAAAATATGTCTCTATTTTATGAGTAATAGAAATAAGTTAGGTACAAGAAGAGATGAATTTTTTTTTTTTGATGAAAATGATGATTAAAGAGTTTGAATCAATCAAAAATTTTTATATGAAAAAATAAATGAAATGAATACAAATTTAATATTAAAGAAATCTCTCAAAAGATATCTCACTTTGATACTATTGAAGAATGTTGTAATGAATGCAAGAAGTAAATGTATTTATAAAGTTCAAACGTAAAAAATCTACGAGTTCGGATGGTTCGTCTGGTTGATCGTCTTTTGTTCGGATGACCAATATAACTGTTTGTATAGTAAAAATCAGAGGTCAGGACGACCAAATTTTGGATCAGTGAAAGCTTCCGGTCGACAGCCTCTTTTAGCCGATCGATTACCTCTTCCGGCCAGTCAACCACTCGACATTTTCGATCTTTTTATGTTTTGGCCTCATTTGTTCCAATTCGAAGGTTTTGAAAGGTATGAACTTTTGAAAAGTATTTTTAACTAACTTTTCAAGATATTTTTCAAGTTCGGATATCATTTTTAAAAGTCATTTTTATATTTGATCAAATCATTGCATTAAAATGACTTTTAATTCACAAAATTGTTTTTATTGCATAGAAAGATTTTGAGGTTAAGCATTCATTATCAAATATCAAAGTATTAATTCCTTTACATTTTATTTAATAAATCAAGTCCTTGATCTTGCTCCGAAATTTGACTCTTAAATTCTTGAATATGTGATTTCGATCTTGACTTCCTTCATTAGTCTGATTTGTGATGATAGCTTTTGATCTTTTAACAACCACTAATCAATTTTTCATAATATGTTTGAAAAACTATAATCACTTAAATTCAACTTGTTTGTTATAATCAAAATTTTAAGGTTTTAATCAATCATATGTCAACATCTATCATATGCGAACACCTTATAGTAGACTTCGTATTTTATGATCGCATCTAATTTGATAGTGGACTTCATCTTCATCTTGTATTAGCTTTTGTTCAACAATATGTAGTAAAAAAATTGTTCAACTTGAAAACATATCATGTAACATTGTCTAGGTTCAATCCAGTTATAGACACACGACCTTGTTTGATTTAGATAAAAAAAAAAAATCAAATATTTAGGAGATTTTGATAAAAGTTGATGAAATGTATAGTTCAAAAGTTACGAGTCTCGTAAAATGAGTGATTAAAATTAATTTTTAATTTTAATTTAAATTTTAATCAAGTAGTTGAACCAAACATGAACAAACCTTTTTCGAGCCCTCTTTAACTCTTCATACCACTAGAAATGTATACACATTACACATTCAACACTTGCGCTCACTTTCTTCTCGATTCCTCTCCAAATACCAAATTCATTGTACCTGAACAAAGTCTACTATCAAGTTCTTGTACCTTAAAAGTACTAAGAATTTCTCTTTTTTGGGCACACAATGTTGAGAATTAAGCTTTTACTTGTTCTTCTGATGATTGTTTTACCAATCAATGGCCTTAATCCAAGAAATCTTGATGAGACCCCACCTGGGGATTCGCAGAACAAGTGTGGTAATTGCCCTTGCGACACCGACACTCCATGTAACAAAGCACCGCCGCCACCCTTGTTATCACCACCGCCACCAAAGAAGTCCCCAACCGCTAAGCATCCTCCTCCACCCAGCGGTGAGAACCCTCAAACGCCTCCTTCCCCTGAAGTATACATAACCGGCCCACCGGGAAGTTTGTATAATATTGACATTAATTACGCCCGCACCGGCGCCGGGAGCTTTTCTTTGCCACTTTTTGTCAGCAGTTTATTGGGACTGCTGGCTTTCTGATAGAAGGATTCAGATTATGGAAAAGGGAATAAATTTTATGCACTGAGGAGCTCCAGAATTCAAAGAGAAGAATTTCGTGGGGGTGAAAACTAGCTTTATTATCGTTTTGTTTAGTATTGGTTAATTAGTACGTGACAGATGTTAATCTGATCTAAGTGAATAATGATGAAATTCTTATATTTCATATTTTCTTGAATTAATTTTTGTTTGGTTGATTAATTTATGGAGGATAATCAACTTTGTCGTATTAATTTTGGAACTTGTGTTCAATAAATTATTCCCTTCACTTGTCACTCGTTTGGCTATGCTTTTTATATATTAAGCTTGACATATGTTTCGTTTGATAAGGCTTCTACTCTTGCTTCTGATTCTCGTAGAAGAGTTTCGTGATACATTAGAACAAATTCCTCTAAAATATTTTCAGAAACCGTCATCACGAACAACTTTTGTAATAATTTCTTTTTTTTTTTTTTGATAAACTAGCTTATACTTAGTCCATGCTGATTGGTATTTCTTTAAAATTAATTTATATCATACATTATTTTAATAAAATCCTTTTGCATATAAACCCATAATTTTTTCATACTTTTAGCTACATAATGTTTAAAAATATCAATTTTGATAAAATTTATTATCAAAAAATCTACAGTAAAATTTAAATAAGTCTGAAGACTCTGAACAATGACACTTCATAATAATCATAAGAGGTTGTCTCAAAAGCTTTTCATGACATTATTGTACACTTTGCGAAGTTGATGTAGAGCTCGTTTAACATGACTTTTAAAAGTCAAAAGGAGTTTTTGAGATTTTAAAAATATTTTTTTTTGGATCCATTTGACAAATTTTATGAATGTATTTTATCTGATTAGAAAAGCTTTTAAGGAAATTGATCAAATATTACTTCCTCTAAAAAAATTTCCAAAATATGAAATACTTTTAAAAATTAGTTTTCAAACAAAAATTAAGATAATTTCTTCCAAAAACTCTTCTAAAAGCAATGTTAAACGTGCCCGTAAAATGTGGTTGAAAAACTAATAAAAGTTGTAACTTTTATAATATATGTGGTTAAAATTGAAGTTTGATTATTTGAAAAATTATAAAGTCTTATCAAACAAACGGTAAGCATTTGATAGAGCTATGATTTACAGTTCAAACTTCGGTTCTTTTTTTATATTAATGCTATGTAATACCAGCATCAGTTTAAGTGACACTATATCATTAACTCATTTGATTTAGAATTTTGAAATTTATTTAATGTCACTTAAATTGATGTTCCAGCATCAATAATACTAAAGCATAACTTTTGTTTTTTTGTATTTTTTTACTCACATTCTAAGATTAGCAATCAACAACGTTGGCCAGCTTCTTTTTCCACCGATATTTCATTTCAAAATTGGGTCCACCATGTGATGTTCCGTTGTGCAAGTCTCTTCGTGTACACATGCAGCTAGGTAAAGTTTGATTTATTAAGCGAATAAAGCTACTCCAATAGCACGCCTGGCTAACTTTTTTTAACTGTCAAATGAAAAAATGACACGCGTCATCCTGTTTTGAATTCTTTCACTGAACCTGTTCATGTAGCATGATTGTTATTAAGCCCCTATTTGACGATCATTATTTAAAATATTTACATAATAAAATATTTTATATATAAATTCAAAAAAATTTCTTACTTTTTAATCACATATTTTTCTAAAAATCACTATTAGGAGGAAAAGATAGTGGCGTGAGAATAAAGGGATATAAAAGTGTGTCATAAAGGAGGAAAAGATCAAAAGGCAGATAAAATCAAACATCTTCATTTGTAGCTCATCTTTATATTCTACTTTCTAAGATTCTGTCATCTTCAAACATCTTTATATTTGTCTTTATTTTCATAAATTAACTCGCACTTGTAACATCTAATACAATTGAAGGGAGTAGCTTCACAAGTGATTTTCTGAAGTTTGATTTACGAGTTTTTGTGTCCATACCAATATAGAGGTAAAGATAATAAAGAAAACATGAGAAACGATATAAAAATTGTCACGACGTTCACCTCAACTCGACTAATTGAGATCATAGTCAAGTTCGGGAGTTAAAGTTGGTTATGTAATCATTAACAGTAAAGATTCTTGTATTTCGATCTTAATATTATGAAAGGAAACTTTTCCGATTATTTTTACAACGAATATTTTGATATAAAAAGATTTATTTATTTTTTACCGTTGATCATATATTTCATTATAGTACTGTTGACACACTAAAAGTGCAGCCCAAATTAAATAATTCAAAGAGTGAAGCCCAATTGGGGAGTCCAGGATAAATGCCCAAATAACAAAATAAATAACCCAAAGAGTGAGGCCCAATTGGGGAAGCTAGGATAAATGCCCAAATAAGATTATTGATGAATGCAGTGGAAGTCCACGAGCACAGTAACATTATCGTCTAAGTTTGCAAGACTCCCAGAATCTGAGCGAATGGAGTGCCTTATGGTCGTCCAGAACGATGACCCTGTTCTCGTCCAAACCTTCGAATAACCCAGAATCTTAGCAAACATGAGATATTATGATTATCCAAAATATCAGTTATTGAAGTAGTTATCGAGCAGTCTTATCACATTCCACGATTCAAGGAGCCCAATTGAAGGCGGTTGAACGACAAAGAGTAATGACAGCAGTTAGAAATGGCAGTTTCACTACAAGTTAGCCACCATAAAGAAAGTGAGTAATTATAGAGCAATCAACCAGTTTCCAAGCGGTTTGTCACGAAAAAATCATCAAGGGAATATAAAAAGGAAGAGAAGATATACAGAAAAGATCCCGAATCAAACACTCTCAAATAGAGAATATGTAATTTCAATTTCTTTGATTAACTTTAATTATCCATTTTCAGTACTCGTGTAGTTGCGCCCCTTGGAAGCATTCTGTTTATTTCCAATTGTAACTTTCATCAATAAAGCACCCTTTTTGGGGACTTTGTCTCAAGAAGTTTGTCACTTACACAATCATTTGAATCTTTTTTAATTGTTAGCAACTACCCGGAAGAACCAAGTACTACGTTTAAAGTATCATTTTTTTTTTTTATTTCATCTCTTTAAATTCCATATTTGTATTTGCGATAGAGAACAAATTTAGTTATTTTCAAATTTTAATTGCTAAGGAAAGTATCCTTTTACAAACTCGCGATAATACTATTTAGACAATAACTCTACATAGCTGATGGCCCCGGCATCATGTATTATTATCTTGAATATATATACATGTATAGATAAGCTCATTAAGCCTCTTATTTAGATAAAAATAAGATTTTGAATAGAATTTATTAAAAGTCAATGAGATGTATGATTGAAAGTTGTGGATCCCATAAAATATACGGTTGAGATTAATTGTGGACTTTGACTTGAATTTTAATCGAAGTTTTAAGTTGAATCAAACATGACTAAATGGATAATTAGCAAACTTCGTTTTTTTTCTGTCTATTCTCATTAATTCCTTTCATTAAATAGACACGTGAATTGCGCTTACACAATTTGAGAATGATAATTTTGTTATGCCACTGCATATATTTTTCATGTAATACTCGCTACTTGCTTAATTGCACCCTTTGGATTTCTTGAACCATGCCGAAGAAGTTTCATATCTACGAAAGAGATAAAAAAAAGGTATATTAGTAAGTTGGTTAGGAACATTAAGTCTCTATTTGTCAAACATTAAAAGTTACTTAAAACATTGTTTGCTATCTTTAAGCCTGTAAGATTTCATTTTCATGAGGATAATATTCAAGTAAGATCCAAATGAAAGAAAACATGTGATCTTATTCTAACAAAATGAATAGAACACACATATGCTGGAAAACATTAGCAAATGATCAATTTATTGAAGTAGGTACATGGTGCACAAACCTATCATTTCTTGAATGGAAGAAGAAAGAAAAGAATGTTAAAAAAATAAGTAATGACAATGCTGAATCTGGGAAATTATAAGAAATGACGTGCTTGCAAATCAATTTGTTGCATTCGGATTTCACCCTATGGAAAAAGTAATACCAAGAAAAAGGTTAAGGCTTCCAGAAGAAGAATATTTTACATATTAAAAAATATAATCATTCAAGTCGCGGAGTATGTGGTGAGACTGAATGAATGCAAATAAGATCAATGGCACCAGATGGTCCAGATCTACACATTAAAATGTTCAGAACATCCATACCCTTGCAGTGCCTGCACATATAGTAGAAGCCTTCATCATTTTCTTATTATTAAATGTCGATGCTAGCCTAACAACCAACCTTAACCGAGCATTGCATTCGGATCAAGTCCCTTAACCCCTATACCTTCATTTCCTGAATCTCAAGCCTTTTGAATATCTCATCCAATAAAATTGTACCGGCCAAAATAAACCTACCTGAGCTCTTAAAAAAACCTTCTTCTCCATTTCATTTTCCTCTTTTCCTCGCACGAACTCTCAACTAAACCTGTCAACTTCTCCCTACTGAATCTCCATTGTCAACTTCTCCCTACTGAATCTCCATTCTCTTTCATAAAAGTCCTCAAATACTACAGCATTTTTAGGAAGCATAAATCATCTCATTAAATCGAACAAGACATTAAAAAATGCAAAATGAGGCCCTTAGTTAACAATGTGTCTACGGTGGTCAGAATCAAGAAACAATATGATAAAACTAATAACAAATTCAACTACATCCTAGTAGCCTGCAACACCTTACAACAATTTGAATATCTTTATATCAACATACTAAATAATTTGTGCCTATGAAAGCAGACTGCTGAGTTTACTTGACAAAATTCCAAGTTATATTGCCTGCAAAAATGTTTGACATCCCAAGACATTTAATTATGCTTTGCAAAAAAAAATAAAATTATATTTTCCCTTTTCATGTTTGGGATTAAGAAAAGAAATCCACCTTCCAGATTTCTATTTACAAAATAAAATTACAAGCTAACACCAACCTTTTGAGTTTGAAGAAACTTACTGTTGTGCATTTGTTTGACCAGCATTTAGTAGAACTGCCTGAGGCTGAGAAGTTACAAAAATGCATTAGTTATTGCTAGAAGATAGAAACGGAGAACAAATTAAACAACATTGAAACTTGACAATAAGGTTTGCACCATTTTGCCAGAAATAACATGGAAGGAGATACACTTACCAAAAAATGGAGGTTGACGATAGGAGCTGCTGACATGTGTCCTGCATCAATAGTTAGATGTTTAGTGCTTCAATTCAATTGGTCGAAGTACTAATATGCTACAGCAGCAGCAAGAACAGATTTGACAAAAAAGAATAAAATTTGGACTTCAGCAAAGTCCTTGCACCACAAGAAGCTAAGAATGTGCACTAGATATGCCAATCTAAACTGCAATATACTATACACTTGCACTTACAAGTTTCAAACTGCACATAGATTAAGTACACAAATAATTAAAATGTTCATACAAAAACCAAATGAAGTGGCACAAATATAATGGAGGAAAGACAACAAATTGTGATGAAGACGATAGCTTGTAATTTAAAAAGTGTCAAATAATAAGCTGAAAAAGTGAAACTTAATACTTTTTTACTTTACGAGAGAACATAAACGGATTGCATTTCCTCGATAACATAAAGAATTTCTCATATAAAAAGCCATAGATAATACCTTGAAGTATCATATCTAACAGTTTTTGAATTGTCAAGTGCCGCCAAAAGTGGATTTGACTACAATAGAAACAAGTAGGTGTTAGCACTAATTGCAATTTGACTGCATGGTGAGAGCTGTAATATGAAGAGAAAAAAAAACATAAATTCATCAACAAGCGGCCAAAATTTATATCTCATCCAAAAGGGAAAAAGTATAACCAATGAAGGTGTAGGTTTTTGAACCCAATATAATGTATTTTACCAATTCATCCACTGAGTACTTTGAACAAAAATTAGAATATAGACAAAGAAAAACGAGGTCTTTGTTTCAAATACTCCTCAGCACATAGGCAAAAAATATTCAACACCTACAAACCTATATTTATTTAATCCAAGAATTAAAAAAGTGAAGTATTCTCAATAATAAACTTTAAGAGCTGATGGTTTTAGTTCATGTACTCCCAACCTTGGTTATGAAAGCACCACGGTGACCTTTTATTAGATGTCCTTCAACCCCAACATGAAACAAAATTATAATATAATAGATATTTTAGAGAAGAGCAAAAGAACACCAATGAGAAAAAAAGAAACAAGCAAGACTTAACTATGGAATAGGTGCTAAGCTTTTTTTACTTTTCATTTTCAGAAATAGCTATTCCTCTAAATAATCTGAATCGTGAACAAGAATTCTATCACCTATCTGAGCAAAACTCAATCAATTCAGATGAGAAGCTAAAAAATCTGAATATTGAACAACTATATTTTCTGTTAGCTAACCCAGCAAAAATAAACATAAAAAAGCGAGAAAAAGAATTCAACCTGAAAAAACAGAACAACACACAATAAAAATAGCCCATTACATGCATATGTATGAAGATTAAGCTCCTATTTGGTGCACATTTTGAGAGTAAAAATGCATTTTTACTATTGATGTGATGGATAATATATGGTTGAAAAAGAAGGAAAAATTATTGATGTGATATAAAATATTATTTTATTGAACAATGTGTGGTTGAAAATGAGTAAAAGATTGAGAATGAGAAAAAAAGGTGGATCAACCAGGGGCTAAAAAACGACTCATTGACTCCCTTGAAACCTTAAAGAAGCTAAAATTCCACCAACAAATGCCGAATGATAGTAATCACTACTAAACATTACAAAAAAATACCATATTTTTTTTAAAAATAAAGATCAGAAGCTGAAAAGCCTAAAGCTTTATTAGTTAGATATACGCATAGGCTCCAAGCTAAAGGTTAGGACCTATGTATACGGAGGATTTTCCACGTTTTAGAAACAACAATCTTACCATTTCTAGAAGGTATAGCAAATTGACCAGTCAGAATTTTTCAACAAGAGCAAAACCCCTTTGCAGCATTTCATCATGGAACTTAAAAGCTTCCGTCATGTTTTCCTCTAAGACATATACATTTATTAATATGTGTATGTAGATCTATCATGACTTATGCAGCCATCTTCTTGTATATCATATTGGCTTCTTGTATTTGACCCATCAAGAACATCATTATATGTAATTACAATTTATGTATAAGAGTGTTATAAGTAATAGTACACTCAAAAGCAATTATTAATTAAACAAGTTTAACTAAAGTAAAGTATAAAGTAAATTATTATTTTTCCACGTCCATCCCATCAAGAAATAAAAAATGAAGAGGAAGCCTCCCGGGGCACATCCAAGTTGGCAAAGGATGGGCGCTGCTGGGCTTGCAACCTCAGGGTGGGGAGTTCGATTCCTGGATGGAGCAGCTGAGCGTTGTAATACTCAATTTGGGTGGAGTAGCTTGGTGATGTAATATCCATGGAGGAAGGCTCCCTTGGGACTTGAAACCTTAAAGAAGCTAAAATTCCACCAACAAATGCCGAATGATAGTAATCACTACTAAACATTACAAAAAAATACCATATTTTTTTTAAAAATAAAGATCAGAAGCTGAAAAGCCTAAAGCTAAAGGTTAGGACCTATGTATACGGAGGATTTTCCACGTTTTAGAAACAACAATCTTACCATTTCTAGAAGGTATAGCAAACTGACCAGTCAGAATTTTTCAACAAGAGCAAAACCCCTTTGCAGCATTTCATCATGGAACTTAAAAGCTTCCATGATGTTTTCCTCTAAGACATATACATTTATTAATATGTGTATGTAGAGCTATCATGACTTATGCAGCCATCTTCTTGTGTATCATATTGGCTTCTTGTATTTGACCCATCAAGAACAACATTATATGTAATTACAATATATGTATAAGAGTGTTATAAGTAATAGTACACTCAAAAGCAATTATTAATTAAACAAGTTTAATTATTATTTTTCCACGTCCATCCCATCAAGAAATAAAAAATGAAGAGGAAAAAATATTAGAAATCCAAATGATAGAGAACAAAAACTTGCTTACTAAAGGCTTTGAATATAATCTCAGAAGAAGCTATATATTTAACCAAAATCAAATCTTTTTCTACAAAAATAAAAATAAAAATACTAATCAATCAAAACTAAAGGTTATCTCCACGAGAATATAGATAAAATACAACTTACTACGTATACCTAAAATTTATGTGCTCAGCAAAGATAATCTCAGCAAAAGGAAAAAGAGATGGGTGGGAAGTGGCTTCAACAACGACTTTTCTAACGGTGGTACCCTTGAGATTCAGGGTCTGCTTCTCAAAGTAATCTATGTGCTCTGCTTGATTTTACTCAATTTGTGAACAATGAGAAGATTTTGGATGCACGATATTCGTGATCCGTGTACCAGTCAAGAGTCAATGCTTGGTTTTGGATGCGTGTCAGTTGAACGCGGTTTGTAGGTCATTGTTTGCCAGTTTGTTTCACATTATTTTAGGCTGAAAATAAATAATTGAACCGTTTTTTCCAACAAGTTGGGACCCACCATGGCACAAGATGCTCAAAAAATGCGGCTCATCCACTGTGCAATGATAAGAATTTTTCTAACACAGGGATTCTATTCTTCAATCTAGTACTTGCATTCAACTGTTTGCATTTTCTTGAGGTATGTACATGTTCAATTCTTTCTTGTTTTGATAAATATTTTCCACTTTTTATTGATTAAAACCCTATAAATTTGACACACAGGATATCTTGTACAATTGGGGTTTGTTTTCTGTAATAATTTCTGGATTGGATTGGATTGGAAACAATTATTGACACCATGCCTGTGGCTGTGGGACAAGCACTTACCAATGCTTCAATAAGCTGGCTGTTGAATAAGCTGGGCACTGAAGATGTTCTTGATTTCATCGTAAAATGGAAACTCGATGACCAGCTTCTAACAGATTTAAAGATGCGGCTGCTGACTATCAATGCTGTTCTCAATCATGCTGAAGAGAAGCAGGTAGATGATGAAAATGTCAAAGATTGGCTTGATGAGGTCAATTTTTCTGTTTATGATGCCGAGGACCTATTGGAAGAGATTGCCTTTGATGCCATTGAATCAAAGAACGGCATGAATCTGGTACGAAACAGCATCTACAATGCTTTACATCTTAGTGATTCAACTAAAGAGTCCATAGATTTCAAAATATCTGATACAATAGATACTTTAAATCCATTGGCTGTTCACTCGGAGTCAAAACTGAAGAGCATGATTGGAAGATTAGATGATATTGTGAAGCAAAAAGACGTTCTTAATTTGCGAGAGGATGTTGGAGGAAAATTGGTGATCTATGATAGACCGCCAACAACTCCTTTGGTAAACCGATTTGATCATGTTTATGGTAGGAAGAATGATGAGGAGAAGATACTTGAGCTGCTTACTCACGAAGAAAGTACTGATGACAGGTTTCTTGTCATTCCAATTGTTGGAATGGGTGGTATTGGCAAGACAACACTCGCACGAATTGTGTTCAACCACAAAAAAACCATAGGGCTTTTTAATCTGAAAGCTTGGGCATGTGTGTCTGATGAATTTGATGTGATGAAAATAACAAAAACACTGGTTGAGTCAGCTACTAAGAATACCTGTGATTTAAACAATCTGGAATTGCTTCAAGAAAAATTGGTGGAGAAATTGGAGGGGAAGAAATTTTTAATTGTTTTGGATGATGTATGGAATGAAAAACCTGGGTTGTGGGATGTCCTGCAGGTTCCTTTTGGAGTTGGAGCACCTGGAAGTTGTGTTATAGTTACGACACGCAATGAAAGTGTGGCATCAATTATGGGTACTGTACCATTTTATCATTTGAGGGAGTTGTCTGAAGATGATTCTCTGTCTCTGTTAGAAGATGTTGCCTTTCCGAATAAAAATTCACATGCATATCCAGGACTTAAAAAAATTGGGAAAGAAATTGCCATGAAGTGCAAAGGTTTGCCTTTGGCAGCAAGGGCACTTGGGGGCCTCATACGCTCTAAGCTGGATGAGGGTCATTGGAATGATATCCTATACAGCAATATGTGGGATAACCTTAATGCAGACATTCTTCCAGCACTAAGATTAAGCTACCATTACCTCCCTGCACCTCTGAAGAAGTGTTTTGCTTATTGCTCAATGTTCCCAAAGGATCATGAATTTGAGATGGAAAAACTAGTCTTCTTATGGATGGCTGAGGGTTTTGTGCAGGAGCCAGAAGGAAATCAAATGATTGAAGATGTGGGCCGAAATTACTTTAATGGCCTGTTATCAAGGTCATTTTTCCAACAATGTAGTGATGATGGATCCAGATTCTTGATGCACGATCTTATCCACGATCTAGCACAATACGTCTTTGGCAAAATATGCCTTACACTTGAGGATCGCAATGAGGTCATTAAGCAGTACAATGTGCCCGCTAAGGTGCGTCATTTGTCATTTATCAGAGGCTCCGATGTTACGTTTGTCAAGCTCAAATCAATTAGCAATGCCAAGTGTCTACGCACCTTCCTACCATTAGATCGGTCACTTGGTTTCAGAAGGTATGGCATATCACGTAAGGTACTTGGAGAATTGTTGCCGGAATTGAGAATTTTGCGCGTCTTATCTTTGAGGGGTTATGAAATTGAGGAGTTGCCTGATACTATTGGAAACTTAAGGCATCTGCGGTATCTTGATCTTTCTTACACTTCCATTAAAGAGTTACCCGAAGCCGTTAGCAATCTCTATAATTTGCAGACGTTGCTACTACTTGGTTGCCGTGATCTTGCTAAGCTACCTAAAGATATGAAGAACCTTTTGAACTTGCGGCATCTCATTATTGATTACAGTTGCTTGACAAAGATGCCTTCAAGTGTTGGGAGATTGATATACCTTCAAACACTTTCTTATTTTATTGTCGGTGAAGGGACTGAGTCAAGTATTGGAGAGTTCAAGGACTTGATGCATCTAAAAGGGTCACTTTCCATTTCAGGATTGCAGAGAAGTAAAATTAATGAAGCAATTGAGGCCAAATTGGAAGTCAAAGAGCACCTTGAAGAGTTAACTTTAGAATGGACTAGTAGGTTTGATGATAGCCGAATAGGAACTATGGAAGAAGAAGTACTTGACGCTCTAGAACCTCATAAAAACTTGAAAAAACTCGTAATAAAAGATTATGGTGGGAAAAAATTTCCAGGTTGGTTTAGTGACCCTTCATTCAAGAAAATGACCAGCATCCATCTCTATGGTTGTAAAAGGTGCAAGGCCTTGCCATCATTTGGTCAACTACCTTCACTCAAAGACCTAATCATTAATGGAATGGATAGTTTAGAGGTTGTTGGCTCTGAGATTTTTGGTGATGATTATTTTCCATCACTTGAGACCCTAAAGTTTGAGAACCTGAAAGAGTGGAAAGAATGGTTATCTTTTGAACGTGAAGCTGAAGGATTTGCTAAACTCCGTGTGCTTACAGTAATTAAGTGCCCAAAGTTAAAAGGATTCTCCTTCATTTTTCCTTCCTAGCAAAAATTGGTTGTCAAGTCCTGTGAAGAATTATCCACTTTCTCAAAACCTCCTTCTATTCCCGAAGGTGCCTCTGGTTCATTACCTGAATACTCAGAAGCCATAAACTTCCTTAATCTCCGAGTGCTTATCCTTGTAGGTTGTTCCAATTTAAATGAACTACCTACTTCCCTCCCTTCATTGGAAGTACTTAAAATAGATGGGTGTAATAAACTGGCTGGACTTTTAATGCTTTCGCACCTGCGGAATTTGGTCTTGATGGATTGCGATGCGAAGTTACTTGGGTGTCTTGTTGAACTACATTCATTGAGATCATTGGAAATTCAAAATATTTCAAAATTTACATTCTTAACACCGGGGTTCATACAGCAATCTTCTAAACTAGAAGAGTTAAAGATTTTTCATTGCAAGGATCTTGAGGTTTTGACAAATTGGCAGATTGGATTGGTGCGGCTTATGTCTCTTAAACGTTTGACAATTCTTCAATGTCCCAAACTCACTGATTTGCCCGAGGGAAAGAAGTTGCCACCTATACTTGAATACTTGGATTTGAGGCATTGTCATAACTTGAAACAGCTGCCATCTGATCTATGCAATCTCAAGTCTCTGACGGAGTTCAGAGTCGAAGAATGTAAAATGCTCAAATCATTTCCACATAGGGCCCTGCCAGGTACACTCAAACGTCTCGTGGTTCAAGGATGTGATGCTCTAATGACTATTCCAATGGAACTCGTTGGTAACAATAGCGCTCTTGAATATTTAGAAATTGGAAGGTGTTCTTCTCTTGAATCGTTCCTTGAGCAATGTGAGTTCCCAACAACTCTCATTCATATTAGGATCAACAACTGTAAAAAGCTTAAACTCTTACCACATGGGATAATGAGCGAGAACACAAAACTTGAGTATTTTGAGGTGGACAATTGTCCCGCTCTCGAGTCATTTCCAGCCGGCCAGTTACCCATGACTCTCAGGCGGCTTCAGATCGGCAATTGCAATATTGGTTCCCTGCCTGCGAATCTTCTTAGCCTCAGGAATCTCGAGCAATTGCAAGTATCTGGTTGTCCAATTCTAGAATACTTTCCTTCAGGTGCATGGCGCAGCCTCAGTTTAAGACAGGTTGAAATTAAGGAGTGTGAGAATCTCAAGTCGCTTCCTGATGGAATCTACAACCTCACAAATCTAAAAGAACTAAGTGTAGGTTATTGTCCTAATCTTGTATCCATAAAGAAGCAAGGATTCCCTGTCAGTTTAAGATTACTTGACATTAGAGAGTGTGGAAACATCAGTTCTCTGGATGGGTGGAAGCTGCACAAACTGAAATCCCTCAATTTTTTTGCCCTTCGTGGATTTCCTGGATTTGTTTCATTCTCGACCGTTTATCTTCTTAATCAATCTATTACTGAACTTCGACTTATAGACTTACCAGACCTCGAATCCCTATCTGAGGCACTAGAAGTTCTCACGTTGCTCGAGACTCTTATGATTCTTCAGTGCAAGAAGCTGAAAGCTTTGCCAGATAGTGGTTTGCCAGCCACGTTATCCACACTACATATTTCGGACTGTCCTCTGCTAACACCAAGGTGTGAGAAGGACCGAGGAGAAGATTGGCACAAGATTGCAAATATTCCCACCTTAAATATAACTTAGTGGAGAACACTTCTAGCATTGAACTCATCGTTTATGCTGCAAAATCATGTCAGGTAATCCATTTGCAGTCCAGGTTTCCATGTTGATCAGTACTTCGATTTGTGTTGCACATAGATTAATGCATCCAGTAATAATCTTACGCTAAACATGTTATCATATGCTCAATAGGATTCTCGGATCTGATCGTCTTTGATTACTGCTGGAATGAACTCAAAATCTTGAGATAAGAATATTTTTTTAGGTAAATTTTGCTTTCAGGCTATCTATTTCCTCTGCTTATTCCCAACTATTGGTTCAATGTGTTCATATTCAATGTGAAGTTGTGCAATGAAAACGTTTGATGTGAAATCATGCTTTCTAAATGTCAGGCATTTAAAATCCATATAACCATTTTACTTTATAGAGAGCTCTCCTGTAGTTTGATGATTGTCATGATTTCTAGTAGGAAGTCAGTGGGGAATTGCATTGGTTCTGTGTCTTTAGCATATTTAGCTGTATCTTACAATCTGAACCGCGTAACAATTTTACAGTGATTTCAACTGCTTGCGTGTCTATAAATGCGTTCGTCCTTACCATGGATGTATTCATAAATGATATGTGGATTCAGACGTACGCCTAAATTTTTTTGTGGTTTGAGTTTCGATTTTGAATTTTGTCCTCTTTACAAATCTGATTATTACCGACCACTTGTTTTACCATAGGTTAAGCAGTCGAATTGGTTGATGCAAATGAACACTCAATCCTGGCTGAATTCTTCTCCAGAACGAATGTATGGTAACAAAAAAATGGGCGATTTAACCTCATTCCATCAGGACGAGACCAAATAATACAGCTAAACTGTTGATGGCTGCTACTAGTCGAATTCAACTTCCTTCAAAGGTATAAACTATCAGAATGTCACTCGTTTTTTAATATTAAAATTGTCTAACGTTGGTTTTGTCTAGCAGCAAAATCGGATGAGTATAGTTAGCAGTGCCTGTGAATACCGATCATGCTCAATGAGAAAAGAAGAAGTTGATGCAGTTGTAGCAAGAAACAGCTCTTTCACAATGATTGCCATTGTCTACTGTGAATATTTGGATTCCATCTTAAACAGACTATCCCAAGCGTCTCTTCCAGTCTTCCCCCCGCCTGGCCTGATTGGGACGACTACCCGTTACGAGAGTCGGGGAAGACAAGTGCTTCAATCTCACAGACAAGGAAAATGTCCCGATAGGACTCAAGGACCATTTGAGGTGGATTCCCCCAGTTTTTTGTCAATTCTGTTCAGTTCAGAATAGTTAAATGTAATTCTCCGTAGAGCCAAACGCTACTTAAATAAAATTGTCATTATGCATGTGTCTTTTGAGCATCCTTTGAGTTATTGCAGTAAACAAATGGGTGGGAACGGTGCTGATGGGATTGAAAAAACAAACTGAAGGTAAAATTATCTCCACAAATCAGACTTATGAATGCTTTAGAAGTCTCTCATAAAATAGGTAAAGAACAATTACTTTTCAATTTCTACAACCATTGTGTTTTTCTTTAAAAAAGGTAAAGAATAAGATTGTTTGACAAGTTACTTTTCGAGTTAATCTAACTTCCGCTGCGTCCTTTTTGTTCTTTCTTATTATTTCCTCTTTCTTGACATAAATTAAAAATGAAGAAAGAACAAAGAAACTCCCGGGTGTCAAGCAGTGGGCTACAAGTGGTAACCATATAGTTTCAGCCTTAACACATACCAAATTTGCAGACAGTAGCATCACTTGGCATCACCATGCCGCAGGAACTGGACAAATTTAGATCTCACCTCTGAAGGGATACGAACTGGACGATAGTTTTTATCAAGCCAGACTGCCGTGCCTCTTGCCTCCAAAATCGGCTGTAGACACAAACACAGCTTGAGAGTATTAGCAATTGCCCTTTCCAATTCTTGCTTACTAGTTTTTTTCGTTACTATTGAATTACACTACAAGATAACAGTAAGAATGTATGAGACCTCTTGGTTAGGTAGCTTGACGATCAAGTGTTCAAAGAATAACCGAGCAGCAGAAGAGTCGGACACCCTCACCTTCACGAGAAACCTATCTCCGCTCTATGAAAACAGGAAAATTACGAGAAGGGCAGCAAAATCTAACATTAAGCAATGAAAAATATGGACAAGAATAACAACAATGTAAAGAATAGTCATGTCTTGTAATTCACTCTGTTAAATACCAAGATATGTAAAATTATTTTCCTTCTATTGATGGAATATAGAAGTGCATTTGTTCAAATCAGTAAAAGCATCTTCTATGTAAGCAAGTCGAAGTTATTAGCATCCTTATACTCTATGTTTTCAGTGTTCTGGGAGCTTGAAATTCGGAAACATACAAGAAACAAGAACTAGTCCATAGCCTGAGAAAGAGTACGATGCTTGGATCTTAAACAGCATACCCTTAAAGGTGCAAGAAATTTTAGCGACAATTCTGACAGCGCTAATGCATTACCAGTACGGGCAATTGCATCAGCATTTACACCAATTCTTTCCAGAAGTTCATGACGACCTGTTCAAATATTAAATAAGAAGTCAAACCTAACTGAAATAAACGAAAACAATAATTTAAATGTAATTATTTTAATCAAATGTTATAAAAAATTGAGATTGTGATGCAAATCATTCGACTACAATGACAAATCCTACCATTCCCTAGCTGTAAGCCATTTGTGTTTCTCACAAACCTCTCTTAAAGCTCTGCAAGTTCAAGCTTAGGGCCACGTTTTAAGGGAATTTTGATTTATCTTTCCTTAAAGCCTAATCTGAAGCCAACCTAAAGTATCCATCAAGGCTTGACCCATCATCACCTGGGGAGAACATTGCTTGGCCTTACCATCTTTTGACCATAAGAAACATTTAAAAAATTTCATAATTTTCTTCTATACACATTGATTCGAGCAAAAGATGTCCATCAATAGGAGAAAATGATGGGAATGAGCATCAGTTCACCATGTTCTCTATAGTAACTACTTGTCCCAACAACTACATGTCGGCACTGGTGAATTCTTCCGAAAGAAAAAAAACACTATTAAAAATACTTACGGCCAAATAGTCATCAACTGTCGAATTGCAGTGATATATGAACATCTTAATCTAAATCAACAATTGATGTGGAAAGTACAAATGAAAAGGTTTTGGATCTAGATCTTTGCCATGTCTAGGGCACAGATAAGTGGCATGCTAAATTGGTTAGGCTTGATAATCACCTAAACAGGGTTATTATTTTTATTCCATGCATATTCGTTGGTATCTAACTCTTCCACTTTGCTATCAAATAAATATAGCTATTTTAAGGGGAATAAATCTTGACAAGGTCACAATTAGAACTAGGATCGTCTAGGTCATTTTCGAAACTTTTTGCAAGACGACATACTCTCTGATACTTTTTGACTTGTATGAGCTAGGATATCCTGGAATATTTCAAGCTTTCAATGCGACCAAGTTGAATCCCCTCAATGGCAGCACAAAAATTTCACCATGAAGTTTGAATTATGCAAAATAGTGAAACCTATTGCAGCCAAGCCTATTCAATCGTCGAACCCAAGTGTCAAAGTTCGTGTTAATACTTGTTTACTAATAAACAGGACATTTCAACCATTTTTTGGTGTCAAAACATGTCATTCAAAGGCAAATTGGCAATAGATGGAGTGGTTCCACCAACTCAGGCATACTTACATTGTTGCCTATCAACTTCTGTGTGAAAACCGAAATATTTCAGTATGTTTTGTTATATTTTTTCCGAAACATGCATACACTATGAGCAACAGTATTACATAGAGGAGTGCTAACATTTAGTATTCGCAAACTCTAAAGGTTTTGAATAGATATATTAAGATTGAAGTAGTTCTTATGCAAGCAGAGTCTGAGGCAGACAATGCTGATTACACAAGAACGTGCATGTTATCTATCGCTAACATATAAAGCCCTTGTTTAACAATCATTATTTAAAAAATCTTTTTTCTACGTACTTATTTTCAAACACACATTTATACAACAAAATATTCTGCACGTAAACTCAAAACTTTTCCCTACTTTTTAACTACACATTCTCCTGAAAATCCCCGTTCAAAAGATTGTTTTGGTCAAATAATGGCCATCAAACATGGGCAAAATATGTGCTAACATTTTACAGATTGTATATGTCGATACGTGTTAAGATATTTGTTTAAGCAGTTCTCACCATGTTGGCAATAACTTGCATAGACAGCATTATTTACAACACCATATTGATCCAATTCATAGTCCCGGACTTTAAGTTCAACTTCGTGGAATTCATCCATTCTGACAAACAGCATAAATAATCTTAAAAAATGTAAAATAGTACAATTCTCAGATACTTGCACAATAGTTCACACAAATTAAAAAACAGATCGATTCCAACTACAAATCTTTTAAAACAATTAAGAAGGAAAGAATAAAGCTGATCCAATTAAGGAAAACAATACGACAACTCGCAGCAATCAACTATGACACTCAAAACTGTCAAAATAAAAAAACCCACGATACAATTCCCACTTCATAAATTGAAATCAAGACAAAATCATATATCCACAACATAGAAAATATTTTTTTAAAAAAAACGACTTTGATAACACTGACAAGAAAATTTACCCTTTGCCGCCCTTGAAATCAAATGCAACAGCATTGCAGCTTCTGGCTGGAGTGAAGCTCGACCTTTGACACGGCAGCCGGAGATGCCGCCGTGGGAATGCCGGAAAAAGGAATTGACGGCGCAAAGTGGGCCAAGTCTCATTGGCAAGTGATGTGTGGGAAGACGATTGAATTGAAGAGGAGACTAAGGAGTGTAACTGTAACATTTTCTTGAACCAGAACTGATGGAAGGCGTAGAAATTTGGCAAAGCATAAAACACTGAAAAAGTTGGGAGCTTTTTGGGCATTTCTCGTGGCGTTAATATTAATGTCCATGTTTGTAGGGGTGTGTGTGAGAGTTATTTGGAAGAATATATTTTGAAATAAAAAATTGATGGAGAATGTGTGGTTGAAAAAGAAGGAAAATTTATTGATATGATGAAAAATATTATTTTATTAAAAAAAGGAAAAATTATTGATATGATGGAAAATATTATTTTATTGAAAAATGTGTGGTTGAAAATATGTAGAAGAATAAGAATGAAAATTTTAATATTGCTCAAACAGGGGCTTAAATGTGGACGGTTCGACCCCGATCTTTTTGTCACGTGCTTGACTCGTGATCTCCAACTCAGGTCGTTTGACTGTACATCTATTTTTGTTTCTTCTTTATATAGAACAATTTTTAATTAGTTTCTTTTAAATGATTTTTTATTTTTCAAAAGTCTTGACAAACAACGTCTTTTAAGTTAAATTGTTTTCAATTTATCTATTTTGGTATGACGTTCCTATCGATCATATCATTTTAAAAAGTCAATATTTATTAGATAAACCAAATTTAACTATTTTATAAATTTTCATAATTCTAATTGCTAGAAGTCATAATGTTTATTATATTTAAAGATGTTTTCATTCATTCATTCATTCATTTTTTTTTTTTTTGTGAGATTTGCAATAATTATTTTCTGCATCGTCCTTTAACTTAACTTCAAATTAATAGAAAGTTAATTTTAATATGTTAATAAAAAATTTAGAAATATATAAAATAAAAAAAAAAACTTAATATAGTGTGTACTTTGTTATTTCATTTACAAGTATTTTCATCTATTTAACCATTTTATGTGCTTTTTTAAGAAAAGTCGTAATGAGATTATAACGGAAAAGAGTAATGAACACCACAAAATGTATAGATAATAAGTAAGTAGCAATTGTGAGTCGTTAAAATTAAAACTTGACGGTAAACTTCAGAGTAAGATGAGATTATAATTTTAGTCAAACATGCAATAATATCATATTGGTAATTTTTCCACTATTTTTAACAAAGAATTTTAGTTACTATTTAATAAAATGTAAAAAGTAAAATTAAATTTTCAAAACACAATATGTAAAATGTATTGTGCCCTATACTACATGTAGGGAGTCTATTTCCACCAGTCTTAAGGTTGTTGGTTAGGGTTTTGGTGGTGGTTGATGGTCAATTTTTGTTGCTGGCATCTATCTCATATTAATATCTTAAAAATATTGATATAGAATTACATTATTTCATTAATTTTTTTTTTCATTTTCTTTGAATGTTTTCTTTCTTATATCTCATTTTCCCTCGAATAAATCTAAAGCTTCGTGTTTTTCTCGTGATTTTCAAGAAGTAACAAAGAAACAATAGTAGAAAGGAGTGTAGGATTGTTAAGGATTGCGCGCGGGCTGCTCCAGCTCTTGGGACTTATTCAGAACTTCATCTTGATATTTGAACGATTGACATTCAGATACAAATCGATATTAATTTCGATAGGCCTTTCAAGGTGGCAACATCTATAGTTTGTTTGTGTATAGGGGCTTCTTACCCTTAATGAAAGAATTAGTTAGATTTGTCGAAACTTAATGCTAGGCTTCATTTGGATGAAACTTGACAAGTTCTCTATATTGATCAAGAAACTGAAATGATATATTAGAAATCTTGCAAAAGCACAATGTTTGAGGAGTCTATTGAGAAACCCATAATAGATTGATAGTGTAAATCAGATTTCAATTGCATAACATCTATGAAACACCTCCAAAAATATTTCATTAACATGCATACAAGCCTAGTTGAGACTTGGAATCTCATGTTTGTTTGTGTGTGTGCGTGTGTGTTTTTTAATAAATTATGTTTATTTCAATTCAATTCAAATTTTTTTCCCATTAAATTAATGTTGTTTCAAATATTTCTCTATTTCTATTCAATCATCTACGACACATGATATATTGTATGTCTAGCTTGATGGATGACAAGAAAACAAGATAGGAGGGTAGCCCTTTTATGGATTTGGGTGCAGAGAATGCCATTTTTCACATAGCTAAATTCGTGATTTTGAAGTCGAACTCAAAAAAATTTGTTTCAATTTGAGTGGGCGAAGTAGACTACCATTACATTTTTCAATTATAGATATTAATGGATTATATTTTTTTAGCTCTAGTTGTAATTTTATTTGAAAATATCATTTTTGTATTTATTGGACGGAAAAGCTGACGGATCGTGGACAGAAGGACGTCTGACGCACAAAAAGTTGAAGGTAAGGGCATAAATGCCAAGAAATGAAAGGTAATGACGATTTCGGAAATCAACCCCAAAGGTAGGGACGTTCTGTGCTAATTAGCCATTGTTTTTCCCATTAAATTAATGTTGTTTCAAATATTTCTCTATTTCTATTCAATCATCTATGACATATATGATATATTGTATGTCTAGCTTGAGGGATGACATGAAAATGAGATAGGAGGGTAGCTCTTTTATGGATTTCGGTGCAGAGAATGCCATTTCACATAGCTAAATTCGTGATTTTGAAGTCGAACTCAAAAAAATTTGTTTCAATTTGAGTGGGTGAAGCACACTACCATTACATTTTTCAATTATAGATAGTAATGAATTGTATTTTTTTAGCTCTAGTTGTAATTTTATTTGCTTTTAATTTTTGAATTATTACATTTGTGTTTGACTATGTTACTTTTTTACATTTTATGTTAAGGTAATAAGCTTGACATTAATTTTTATTATGATAATTGATATCGGGATTTTATTTTATTGATGTGAATGCCATTTCGATGAATAATTACAATTAAAAGTTTTTGGAGGTATACATAATGACACTAAATTTTAAAAAAGAAAAAAAAAAAAAAAAGAAATTAACTAAATTTTGTATTTTCGAAACAACAGAACAGTAAAAATTTGTAATTTACAACTGGCACGCTCCTAAAATCTACCGTTTATTTATGCTTAATCCAACGGTGGAGTATGAAATAGATGACAATGGAAATATGACCGTTATGCAGGACCTATTCAAAGAGAGGCGATGAGTTTTGGGGGTTTTCTGTCAAGAAGAACTAGGCAAGTATATTTGAAGATGGAGAATTAGAAAATTAACGAAAAAACAGGGAGTCACTTTTTTACGACAATTTCTATAATTTCTTTTTCTATATGATTATCTTTTATTCATATATAGAATGAATCTTGATGGATAGTTTCAATTCAGGGTTTTGTTCTTTAGTCGAACTGATGATCAGTTTGGGTTTCACTGGATTTCTTTTGGAGAATTTTCTGAGGGTTTTCATTTTATGTATGGTTCTTTTTGCAATTCTGACGGTTCTTTTTGAAATTCTGATGGTTGCCTCTTGGTTTTTCTATCAAGAAGAACTAGACAAGGATTTTTGAAAATGGATTCCAGTGCCGTTCCAAAGAAATTGAGAAGTAAGTTAATAAAAAGATTCTTGACAAGAAAGCAGGTCAGTCATATTTTCATGATAATTTCTTTAGCTATATGATGATAAAACGGGTTTAAGTGGATTCTGTTTTTGTGCATTCTTTGAGGGTTTTCATCGATTCTATTAGTATTTGGATCCAGCAATTGTGTTCGCTCTTGTTTCTATAATTTCTTTTTCTTTACAATAATTTTCTTTGTTGGTTCATTTGGATGAATCTTGTAAGATATTTTCTGGGTTGAATTGATGATCATTTTTGGGTCACACTATAATTATTTCTGTGAAATCTCTGTGGGTTTTTGTTGGATCTTTAATGGTTGTGTTTGGTGTTTCCTTTTTATTCAATTTATGGCTATTTAGGCAATTGTGTACCTTGGGTGATGACGTTCACTGTTGTTGTGTGTAATTCCTTTGTCTTTGCAATTGCATTCTTTGGTGCATTGGATGGATCTTGTAGGATGTATCCTTTACTGTATTTGCATTCGTTCTTTGAATTTTCTATGGGCTGAATTCATTAATGGAATTTGTGTTTGGTTTGAATATTGATAAGTTTTGGGTTCCTCTTTCATTTTATGTATGGTTACTTCAGCAATTATATTTTGAGTGTTTTGGTGCATTGGCTTGAATCTTGAAGGGTTTTTTCTGCGTTCAATTTTCGGTTTGCTAGATTTTTTTATCTGAATTCTCTGTGAATTTCGCTGAATCTTTAATGGAATTTGTGCTTTTTGTGTTTTGGATTGAATAAGGAAAATTGATGAGTTGTGGGTTCTCTTTTCAGCAATTGTGTACCTTGGGTGATAATGTTCTCAGTTGCTGTGTGTAATTCTTTTGTCTTTGCAATTGCATTCTTTGGTGCATTTGTATAGATCTTGAAGGACACAACTTTACTGTATTCGCATTTGTTCCGTGATTTTTCTATGGGCTGAATTCATTAATGGAATTTTTGTTTGGTTTGAATATTGATAAGTTTCGGGTTCCCTTTTCATTTTATGTATGGTTACTTCGACAATTGCATTTTGAGTGTATCGAGTTCTCTTTTTTCTTGCTTCTTTTTTGGTGCATTGGCTTGAATCTTGAAGGATTTTTTCTGCGTTCAATTTTCGGTTTGCTAGATTTATTTATCTGAATTCTTTGTGAATTTGCTGAATCTTTAATAGAATTTGTGCCTTTTGTGTTTGGATTGAATAAGGATAATTGATGGGTTGTGGATTCTCTTTTTATTTTATGTATGCTTATTTCAACAGTTGTGTTCTTAGTGAGATAATGTTCTCTTCATGTATTTAATTCCTGTGCCCCTTGATTATATTCTTTTTGGTACATTTGGATGAATATTGAAGGTCTGTCTTGTTCTTTGAATAATCAATCTTGGGTTTTACTGGATTTGTTTATGTGAATTCGGGTTGAATTTTTAACGTAATTTGTGTCATTTGTGTTTGGTTTATGATTCCTTTTTCATTTATGTATGGTTATTTTAGTTCTTAGAGTGAGAATGTTCTCTTTGTTTCTATAAATTTGATCGTAGTTCTCTCTATAATTTTGAAATTGGTTTGTGATTTTGGTTGGACTTTGATTGAGT